GAGTACATATATTCAGTCACAAATGTAGTGGAGTAGAGAGTAAAAGTTGCTTATATTTTTGATACTCAGTACAAGTACAAAGTAGCCAAAAAAATACTTAGGTACAGTAACGAAGTCCATTTACTCAAGTACTTTACACCACTGCATTACAGTATACTGCGCTCAGCAGGCACGTGCACACATAGAGATCAAAGGGGGCTTGAGCACCTGCCCTTTTTATTCCTGGGGAGAAAGTGCCCTTATTTCTGGGGTGTTTTTTTTTTTAAAAAAATAATATATATTCCTGCTTGCGCACAGCTTCCCTGTCAAACAAATATATTTATTGAAGAATAGTATATCTAAATATCAGATCAGGAGTTCTGAAGCGAACATCCCCCCACCCCCGCGCAGCGGCGCACATCATATACACACACACAGCCCCTCCCAGCAGTGTTTTCCTTGGCTTGTGCTGAGGTGAGTGGAGCTGGTGATGAACAAAAGATTAAACTACCAGTGCCTCGAATAAGGCTCGAATTTACTGCTGATTAGCCAAAGACAAATATATAGTTAACCTGTGTTTTGCTAGCATGCATGCCTCATGAGCTACTAGACTAGCTAATGTGTAAGGGATAATCGCTATATATTATCCCGCTTATTACATGGCTACCTACCAAATAAATAATTATTTTGACATAAAATATTAAAAGGGAGTTTATTGATTTAAATAAGTTTATTGATTTAAATAAGCTTAATAAAGTTACTAATAACCATATATCATAGCATAAATTGGTGAATTTAGAAGAAATCTACAGATGCAAACAGATGGAGGATAGATACACTCTAAAAAATGTAGTAAATCTGAGTAGCCTAACTGTATCTGGTACATTAATCAATAAAACTGAGTAGAAATAAGTTAACATTAAACATTAAAAATAACAATATTTATAAATTAACTTTTTATTTATGAGTAATTTAACTTTTTTTTTAATTTCCTCTAAACCTTTATAAAATAGTATTCCATACAACCACAAATACATACATGACATTGGCTTTTATTGAATTTTTCTCAATTATTTTGGTAAGTTTAATTCAAACAATCAAGTAAGATTTTCAGAGATTTTATTAAGTTAATAAAGTTAAATATTTCTCTAATATTTACTAAGCCACAGAATATTTTTTTAGAGTGTAGTAGGTTTAAAACAAACTCCATCTAAATGTGGATTTTGAAGGTTTTATTTGATGATGGTGATACAGTCCTCCCTCAAATGTGAAACTAAGTCCATGTCAGTCACCATCAGTTATTGTGTATGTGTACATGCATAGCAATAATAATATTTCAAAACATGCACATTGTGGAATGGTTTCCTTTGCTGCTCTATAAACCTAGTGAATACTAAGGAGACCATGGTTTCTGTGTGAACTGATTATTTTGTAGACACCTTTTGAAAATTAAACAATTGCATGAGTTTGAGGAAGATAAAATTAACTTTTTAAATTATTTTTTTAAAAAGGAAGTCAGTGTTGCGTTAATATATATATACTTTTTTGTTTAAAAAAAGAAAAAAAATACGTAATTATGAGAGTGCCCTTTATTTCACTTGAGCCCCTGCCCCTCAAAATGTCTGTGCACGTCCCTGGCGCTCAGTAAATTTAAACTTGCAACGAACTGTAGAGAAATCTGTTGTTTATGCAGTTGTCTAATAGGCCGTTTCTGGGTGATTGGAAATTCCTTATCTGGAATTGAATTTGGTGATCAGTGTTGACACACCATATGTCCTCTGCATTTAACCCATATGTGACATAATAGGGGGCTACTAATTCTGCACCCAAGGGACAGTATCTTGCTGGTTGGGGATTAAAACCAACAATCTTTTAATTACATCTGCACTTCCCTAAGCATTAGGCTCCCAATGCCAATATCAGACTGCATTGTAACATTGTATGAAGGACGGCAAGTGTCAGTCAAAGTGTATAAAATCACATGGAATGCCTCACCAAGCGTGGCTGGATAAGCTTAAGAGCAAAGACCTTTTGCTCACTGTTTGCCCCCCCACCAACTTCAAAAATCTCTCTGTCTCCCCTGGGCTGGCTTACTCTAAAGATATTTGAACTATGGGATGGGTTGAACTAGTTCTTAATGTAAATAGCCTTTAATGTTCTTAATTACTGTACAGATCCTGTTTGCAAATCGTTACCAGTCAGTTATTTAAAATGAGCTCTGATACGACAGAATGTATTGTTGTACCCACCCAGATACAGGACAAAAGCAGTAGGTCACACAGCAGGTGCTCTGTGCATTCTGCATGTAATAAAATAAAGTTTTTGAATCTTGAATGTGGCAGTTACTGGCTTTGACGCAGTTTTATTAGGTTCTCACTTTGTTAATCATTTTGAGTAGTTTAACAAACCACCAACAAACAGAGCTGTCAGTGGGAGTGAGATTTAACTCCTGCCCCTGTTTCCATCTCTCTTTCTGTTGGCAGGCCTCTTCTACCACCAGCAGCTCCTCCTGAGGCCAACTCCTTCCCCTGGTTAGTGGGACTCCGTCTAAGCCCCGCAACCCAGAAGGATAAGCGGCTTGGAAAATGGATGGATGTATGGATGGATGTGTAGCTGTTTGTGCAGCTCCTGCTCCAATAACTGCTGACCGCTGTACCTGGGTATTCCTCGGAAGCTCAGCCTAGCTGCACTTGTGCCAAAGTGACTCCTTGAAAGAATGTATGTTTGCAATGTGGGGTAGGGTGGGGGCGGGGTTAGGGTTGGGTATTCAGTAAGGTTAGTTGAGGCCCCTTTTTAGCATCATGTAAGAAAGGACAGAGCAAATCATGCTAATGGAGCGAATGGCGGGAAAAGGCGCTTTGAAGTTTGAACACTGGAAGCGCAATCAGCTGCCAGCTTCCTGCCAGGAGACAGCTGATCATTTGCAAAATGACACCATTTAATCCGGCAACACCTCCTCCCCGTGACAGTTTCTCCAACACACTTTATGAATGATACAGTCGGTCATTATTGTTATTGTACATTTACTAAATTGTCCTTTATGTCTTTTCCTGGCAGTGGTACTCAGTGGTTGATAAGTGGTTTTAACTTGTAAAATTCGTATGTATATTTAATGTAAAACCCCCACCGTTTTACGTTTTTACAGCATTTTTAACACAACCACGACCAAGTGTCATAAAATCAATGGTAATTTACATAACCCAACAAGAAAGACAAAGGCTGTAAAAAAAAAAAAGACGGAGAGTTGTCCACATACTTGTCTGCCTTTTATAATACATGTGCTCACCTCCATGTAAAACCAGCGTTAGTGTTCATGCTTTATTTGTTAGTTCTTTGCGCAAGACAGCCCCCCCCCCCCCTCCGGCCGGCTGCGCGCACTAAACTCCGCCCCCCCCCGCCGGCCACGCGCAAGTATTGTCCTTCCGGTTACCGTAAAGGGGCTTTCGCTGCGGCATTCCGGGGCTGGGTTTTTTCCTGCCTGCAGTTACTGGAAGTTCGTTAGTATCCTTCCTTCACATTATCGCTACGGAGACGTCGCCCTGTTTCCCAGCGTTTGGCGCTGATCCACCTGGGCCTTCAGGATGCCGCTGCTCCTCACTTCGGCTTTAGTCGCTCTGGTCGCCGCCACACACGGTAAGTCCCGCTGTGTTTACGGCCGATCCGCGCTACTCCTCCGACGCCGTTAATGGGTTTTCTTTACCCGATCGCGTTCATTGTGGTCTCCAGTAATGGCTCCGATGGTCATACTGGGCGATAATTTGAGTTCGATTGCATTTTAAGGTAATTCCGACATGATTCTGTGAGCTTTCCTTTACGTGTCCGGGCTCTGGACGCCCTCGGCGATGTGACTATCGGAGGATCCCGAGTAAATACAAATTAACATCCCAAGCAAACGGAGGACTGTGCGGGATATTCCTAAATACCACACTTGTATTTTATTGTCAAATGCATGAACCTGTAATCCGGATATAAAATGATCAAATCCGCGTGATTCCCCTTCCTCTGCATAGAAAGCCGTCACAGCCAACCCGAGAAATGTACCAGAATAACGATTTAAGAAACAAAGGGGGGGGAAATCACTCGCACTTTCCTGGCTGTAAGTATCTTACATGCGACATTTGACTTTTTCGCATTTGGCCGTGTTTATGCCCAGCCCCCCCCCCCCCCCCAAAAAAAAAAAAAAAAAAACCCCCCCCCCCCCCCCCCCCCCCAATAATCAAAACCAAAAACATCCCCCTGGGCCCCCCCCGGATGGGAGAGGACCTCAACCCTCCCGACTCATTTTTTTAAAATACAGATTGTTTGATTCCCATTAAGCGAAACTTCTTGAATTATCAGTTTTCATCTCTGCAGCATGTGTTTTATATCAGTGATGTCGCAGAAATGTGACTCCATTTGCATGAAAGATGCGCTGCAATGAAGTGCCTGAGAACGAGAGATGATTTCTGCAGTATTTCACTGCATGGACGCTTTTACCAACTTCTGAGCTTTCGTAGAATTAATATTTGAGCTTTGATGACGATTGGGTATCCATATAAAGTTTACTTAAGGTAATAATTATGAAATGCTGTCATACAACGAGAGCTAAAACTAGTAGGTACAATATTGGTGGCACCGGGAAACGGCCAGGATCGTCAAGCCATCCGGCGGCGGATAAACGTCCTTTTCACTGCAGGGACAAACTGCAGGCTGGGTTTGTAAGGCCTACCACCTACGCTGGCTTTATTCTTAAAGGGCATTTGGACCGAAATGTCTGCCAGAATTCGCCGTGGTAATGAGTCCAGACCGTAACTGAAAATTAAAGATGCTACATTAACCATCGTAATCATAGGTCTGTTTATTATCTTGCAGAGCGAAATGCTTTAGTACGGGGTCCTGGAGAGCTACTATCCAGTAGGTTTTCTGTCCCACTTGGTTTCTGATGAGTCACACCTGCTCCCGGTATTTACCTGAGAACAGCTGTGGCTCATCAGAAGCCAGGTAGGATAGAAAACCTACTGGATGGTAGCTCTCCAGGACCGGAGTTGGAGACCCCTGCTTTTTAATCTGATCTTATCAATTAACTAACGGAAATGTTTGATCTTCCCTAGAGCCTAGTTCAGTAAAAAAGGGAGATTGTGAATTTAATTAGATGGTTCTGTCTGTCTCTCTCTCTATCTATATCTATCTATCACATAAAAGGAAACATCCAGTATTATGTTTTCAAAATCTGTGACTTTGGTGAGGGTCTGAGTATAAACTTTGTGTGGCAGATGCCTCTCTGTCCTTTGCATTACAGCTGGGTGACACTGCACCAGCATAGCCTTGGTGAGAGAGGTATCCAGAGAACCTCGAGCATTGTCAGGTCCGATCACTCGGGGCTACAGCCGGGTTTGCTATCGCCCCGAGGACTTTAGCCCCGATTCCAGTCTTCCTTAAAGTCAAACCCCTGGTAAACTTGGTCCCTGATCTTTTCAACGGCAAGACCCTCCCCAGCCGAGAACATTAATCGTACACCCACTAGAGAGTGGAAGTAGCGGCCATTTGGATGATGCCCGCTAACCAGCGATCGGTGCCTTAAGGCAGATGTTTGAGGTCATGTCTGTACGGGTTACTGGTTTAGAAAATTGCAGATCATGCATGTTGCTCCCACCGCTTTTAAATGATCGCTTTATCCAGCCAGGAGCGGAGTTCTAAAGTCCGTCTGCTGAGCCGATGGGGAGTCGCATGGGGAGTTTCTGCTGACAGTGGCTCAGATCCGTGCGGCAGAACTCGGAGATCATTTGCATGGGAGGTCTTGCAACATAATGCAGCGTTTCCAATGAAATGGACTGGAAGCTGTCAGGCATCTCGTTGGCCCAGTAGATATTGTCCCAAATTTAGGGTTGTAGCCAATTGTCTTGGAACTGAATTCTAGAGCAGTGTTCCTCAACCATTTTTGCACCATGACCCAAGTTTTACCGCGCCAGCTCAGTGGCGACCCTGTGTAAAATATCGGTTTAAATTAACGCTGTGATCAAGCATGCAGTGCACTCTGCAATTTACGCCAATCAATACCTATCGCACAAATCTGATTGGATGTGCCAGTGAATTTTAAATTAAGCATCTGTGGTTTGGCTTCTTGGAGTGGTTGAGTGTTCACTAGTTTTGCGCTAAGCATTTGCAGACTCAAGACCTGTTTATATAGGTTCATTTTAGAATTGGGGCTGGGAAATTTGATTGTGGATCAGCATAGGAGAACTTTTTGGGTTGCGACCCATGGGTTTGGAATTGCTGCTCTCGAGTTAGTTACTGAACAAAAAAGTCCAGTTTTTAGATGAAGTGTGGTGTATACCACAGCATTTGTTCTCTCGACAGATAAGATTCTGCTCCCTTTTTTAGATTTTTTTTTTTAAAAGCTGAAGCCAGTTAAATTATTGTTGAGTTTGCATAAATCAGGAAATGGCCCTTTGGTTTATATTGTGGTTACTTGGCCCTGTCTGTTTCTGGGTACTGGTTGTTTACCTTGTGTCAGCGAGAGGGGTCACATACGAATTTGACGATGTTAGCAGTACTGAAGAGAGTTCTGTATAATCCGTAATATCTTCTTAATGTAGCCTAAAATGTGCCTGTGTACTGTTTTTGTTCGCATTCCCCAAACGAAGGCCAAAACTCGGATTCCAACTTCCTCTTTTGAATAACGAAGGCTTAACTCTTACACTTGCGTTGCAGGATCTCACCACACTTGCCATCTCTAGGTTCCTTCTATCTGGTGGTATGTACAAAGCCAGGAAGGAAGACATTTTGAAAACATGGCATGCAGATGGACACAGGAATATTTTTGTAGGTCATTTAAGGGGAAGTGAGTCACATGCAGGGGACCACTGAGAACCTTGTCTGCATCGTCTCTGACGTTTGGAACAACGTAGGGACCCTCAATTGCAGGGAATCCCAGATCTCACAGAAGCGTGTTTCCTTTGTTGGGCTTTGATCTATTTTGATTTAGGCCACGATCTTACAGTACACACGCACACATGTTCTGAGGGGGTGCAGTTTGGTAGCCAAGTAGCAGATTAGACCATTAGTGTGAAACCTGCAGTTCTGACATATGTAGGTCAAGTTTTTAAAGAGGCAGGACGTGCTAATTGCTTAATGCACCTTAAGCATGGCTTTGTTTTTTCCTTTTTGATTCCGGAAAATGCTCACTGTTCGTCTTTCTGCCACTCTGGGCTCCATTTTGAAGAACGTGTGCGTAAGATGTGTGTCACCATCTGCTGATGACACCATTTAAACTTTGAAGTGCAATCGCTTATCACTTTGTGACGTTCAGGATTTGTGTGATCACGACGCGTCCTCCTCAGTATTTGAACGTAGCGTTTATTTTAATGTCTGTGTTTACACATCCACAGACATACACGCACAGACTCACTTACAGTGAGTAGTTGGCGTGTGAACATGCGTGATCAAAGGATGTTCACCACAAACTTCATATTTGATGTGACGTCGTTTACCGAATCTTGCACTTGGTTCAGTTTTGGGTAATGTGGGTGAAAACTAACTTCCGACCCGCCTCCATTCTGTATGCTGGGTGTTATATGTAATCTTATTTCAGGTGTCATACTTGTACATGTATACTGGCTGGTTCCTGGAGTGGGACTTGTGCTGAAATTTTGCTGCTAGTCAACTGGGATAGTTCAGTGAAAAATGTTGATCAGCATTCAAATCTTTCTTAGCCACTGGGCTAGTGATCATTCTTCGTCTGGATTACTCGGCTCAGGCGAGTTGGTGAACTCTAGCTCTCTGTGTTTCTGCCCATGTTTTCCTGTGTTGTCATCCTTTACTATGTACGCGCATTATAAGCGCTGTAGGTTAAAATGACATTTCGATGCACTCTGCACACTGACGATAAAGATTTATCTTTTTATTCGTTAAATGTTTAAAATGTCATTTTAATGTGAAACTTGGGCATGGAGTTTCCCCACATAGCACCATATCTTTCTCAGAAATCTGTTTCTCGTCTATTTTTGTTGCATTAAGATAAGATCTTAGAGCTTAATTGATTCATGTGAGGGGAATTTTTGTCCAGTGGCACAGAAGAAATGAATACCACATGTGACGTATAAAATAAACGATATGTAAAGTAAATCAGTAATAAAATCAAACATTCATTTAATAAAGAGAGAGATCTGTGCAAAACGGCAGCATTGTGGTATGTTAATGCCGGCGTCCTGCAGCAGTGCGTCCTGCAGCAGTGCGTCCTGCAGCAGTGCGTCCTGCAGCAGTGCGTCTTGCAGCAGTGCGTCTTGCACGGATTTTAAGGGGTAGGGCTAGTGGCACAAAAAACTTTAGGTGAAGATTTCTCTTAAAATCCAGGTTAAGGTTTCCATAAAATAAAATCGGTTGCACAAAACACGTCTTAAGGTTTCCTTAAAATGTTCAATTAAATACTTAAGTTGTTCTCCTTATCTTGGTGTTGTTCTTAAGGAACCCCTTAAAGTTCATTAACCAGTTGCACAAAAGAGCTTAACAACCAAAGTAAGTAAAACAACTTAAGGTACTTCTGCCTATTGCTGCGTTCCGTTTACCTCAGATGTTGGTACTTGTCTGGGAATGATGTCACACACAGCTTAACCCTGTTCCAGTACAGCAAGTCAGAGAGCCATTTTGCAATACCA